GTAGTAGCAGCAGTAGTAGTAGTAACAGCAGCAGCAGTAGTGGTAGTAGCAGTAGTAGTAGCAGTAGTAGTAGTAGTAGTGGTGGTAGTTGTAGCAGCAGTAGTGGTAGTAGTAGCAGTAGTAGTAGTAGCAGCAGCAGCAGCAGTAGTAGTGGTAGCAGCAGCAGCAGTAGTAGCAGTAGTAGTAGTAGCAGCAGCAGTAGTAGTAGTAGTAGCAGCTGCAGTAGTGGCAGTGGTAGTGGTAGTGGTAGTGGTAGTGGTAGTAGTAGTAGTAGTAGTAATAGTAGTAGTAGTAGTAGTAGTAGTGGTAGTAGTGGCAGTAGTGGTAGTAGCATCAGTAACAGTAATAGGCCAGATGGTCAGTTTACAGGCGCGTGTCATATTGAGGATACCGAAGAGATCCGAAGAGGGAATACGACGACCAGGGACCATTAGCCTCATTATGCGTAACTCTGAGTCAGTCATTCAGAATTACTAGCAATTGTCGATCACATGGAATTCAGATCCAGTTTAGCTTGACAGATCTTCCCCTTCAGCCTCAACGCTAACTCCTCAGACACAAGTTGGGCTCCTGAGCTCCGGATCCTCAATTTGAAGATCTACATGAGGGTTTCCCCAAATTAGGGACACCTTTTTCGGGGCCCCTGTAGGAAGCATTATAATAGTATTTTGGGGTCTATATTTGGGATCCCGTATTTCGAGAAACTGCCATATCTTTTCTGGAGTACCGGGACCCCTTTGTTGTAATACTCATTATCCACCAGCGTTGTAACCCGAAAATGAAGCCTCCAAATCGTGAGCAGTGCAAAAGGATCACTATTGCGCCTTCTATCATCCCTATGTACCCGTAGTTTCCATTTCATTGCCATGTTCTTTTCCATGTGAGTAAGTTTCCTTAGTTTACATATTGACCGCCAACTAGTATGAACCCCCAAAATGGTACCCCAAACTTTGGTAAACCCCCCATATCTTCATTCCGCCGCAGGATCACAATTGCTCGATGCTTAGAGAAGATGTACACCGCCAATCTTCAGGGACCAGACCAGGCCGATTTGCTGGGATCTTGTGGATATCATGTGGTGAGGGCGTAGGAGTTTCTCTAATCAAACGTGCTTGGAGGATCGTGGGACCGAGTAACTTCTTATAGCTGGGCTTACAACACTATACTTCTATTCCCCTGAGTGGAATTTTATAAGTCAACCTAGTTATACGTAGGGTTATAACCCCAGCTATACAAGTAGTGACTATAGTCCCATGAACCGCTAAATGTAGGCAGGTCTTTACTGGTGGCGATGCGTTATGAGGGGAGGTTGTATCTTGATGCAGTATGTGTGACTCTAATTTTAGAAATTGTTCTATAGAGTTTTGTTTTCAGGATGTCCTCAAGACGTTAAGGGATTTAGGGCCTAGAACCCTAAACCTTAATTTGAACCCTAAACCTTAATTCAAGCCCTAAACCCCAAGGGTTTGAGAATTGCAGGGGGTTCTTGTCCCCTGTTCAAACCCCCGCAAGGGATCCCATGTCCATGAGGGTTGTTTAAGAGAATCCGAAGCCAGAACTATACTCCGCCTTAAATCGATAGAGTATGGTTTTGGGGTATATTATGATAAGATCCCCATAGGGTTTAGGGTCCAGCCTTGAAGCCCCTGAGGTGGCTTGGGTTGAGGATGGTGGCTCTTTGCATCCTGCTGACCACCTGCAATCCCAGAACCTGCCAGATCTAGAAAAAACGATTGTAGTTTCCATAATATGTGAGGGGTACCGAATGTTTAATTTACAATGAGGCCCTAAGTAGATGGCGCTTATGAAGAAGGCAGAAGTGTAGCAGTATCACTAGCAGCACTAGCAGAGGCGGGTGTAATAAGGATGTCCAAGGGGCTTGACACCTGGGGCTTTATTGCGATGATGTAGAGGTATATGGGGTCAATAATCCCCAAGCCCTAAACCCTAAACCTTAGTGCCCCTTCTGATGGAGAACCAAATAGAAAAGACATGGAAACTGGAATGGAAACCAGGCTTGTGAATGGATCTTGGCACTGATTAAACACGTGGTGCTCCGGGCTTAGGATTTAGGGTGAGTTGGTCTGAATCTTCTCATTGGTACCAATACATGCACACATGGCCAGTGTTGTTTTATTTTCTCGATAAGCTCTGCATCCGTTAGAGTGCTCTGTCATGGATGAATTCGCTCAACTGGCGCCCAAAACAAAACCT